CTTTCTTCAGCAGCCAGGTGGAAGCCGTTTAATGCGAACATTCAGTGATGTGTTGTGTAGGCTTGGAGGAGGGGGAGACGAGGGGAGGTCTGGCTTACTTAAACTCCCAAGAATGTCCTAATCTTTTAAAGAATATGAGTCTCCTGTGTACAGGCCTCTGCAAAGTTTATGGATAAACTGAGACCCATAGAGGTGCCTCTGTGTCAAAGTTGAACTGCTTGCATGTGGCTCTATTTGTGTCCCTAAGTAGAAGGAAAATAGCCCACTTTTAATTAATGAGGAAAATGCTACATGTACATTTACTTTGGCTTGGCTAGAAAGCTGTTTAAATTTCATTTAGCTAAATAAATATTACTTTGTATGTCAAATTTAAGCCTGTTTAAACCCAACTTATTGGTTTAGCTTGCACCTGTAACCAATACAACTTGCTTGAAATCCATGTGAAAGTGCCCACACAGGGATTTGTGCTGGCTTGACATTTTAATATTAGTTAAACTGCCGTAACTTGTAGGTGTGGACCTCCCCTTAGTAGCCTCCAGCAGTAAAAGTGTTGTTTTTTGGTTTTACTAACAACGGAAGCCAACATTTAAAACTTGACTGCATGCTGCCCACTCTGTTCACACCATTTGGTGCTTTTGCATAAGACCACAAGTTTGCTGGCAGGGTATCCTGTTTCTTTTAAAAACTAATGTATTACACCTGACCACATCTGTCTCAAGAGCTCATAGCCTCCACATTTGTTTTAAACACATCTATCAAGACAGTCCACAATAGTGCCATCTCAAAACTTCAAAAATATTGAATGTAATCACACTGCACAAGAGTGCTAAGGAAAGCCATCTGCTCAAAGTAACTGTCTGTGTGCGTGTAGCGGTCAGGGTGACGGCAAGACTTGGAAGGGACTCTATGTTTTGTAATTCAGTCCATCACGAACTTTTAACCTCTGGGCACAACACTGCAGATGTTTCTGCTTTCCCCCTAAGTAGGAAGTGTGCATCCCGTAATGGTAATTTTTCATGAAAAAAGCATGACATGCCAGATACCGTGACTTGGTTCATAGGAATATTATGGTTGTATCTATTACCTAAATGAAGGAGGTCCTTTAAGACGAAGCTGTAGGCTTTGAGGGAGTGGTAAGGTCTATGTTGATCATATTCTTACTGGTAGCCTTCACCCATCCCTGACTATCACCCTGAAATCCCTTCCCAACATGTGGCAGGTTACCAGCAAGACTTGCAGTGGAGTCTGTCATTTGAAGTGGCCCAATTAAGAAATGAGAATGGGTAGCTGCAGAGGATTGTGTGCCTTCTCTGTCCTTAATAGCCTCTGTTAACCACAGTAAACCCAATAGGATTTGTAATTCCATTATAAGGCAAAAATTTCTTTTTTTTTAGTTTCATTATAGTATGCAATCATTCACTGTGTGATCTCATTGAGTGAGCTCTGTTTTTCTTATCCAGTTTTCCTGAATCCTCCTGAAACAGCTGGATGGTAATGAGATGTTTCAGAGTTATGTTGGGAAGCACCTGGGGGCAGAGGTTCTCTAGGTTATCTTTATTTGGAAGTCCAACTGCACCTTTGGCAACAATCTTTTAATAGTAACCACTTATTTCAAAAGTTTTTAATTCTTTACATGTAGAAAAGCTCTGCTATGATTTTATTTTCTTTTTTCTTTTTGTGCTTCTCTTGCATTGAACCATTGACTATCAGAATATAATTTATTTAATTTATGTAGATGAAATTTATAGTTGTATTTTACTCATCCATCTCTAGAGGTGGTGGTGTGGTTGGATACCATTGTGGCATGATATAGACAAGATGTTTATTGTTCTAGTAGAACAGCAGTGCTTAATCACACAAATAATGATGTAATGCTTGTGGTTGTTGGAGTCTGCAGTCAAGAGATGTGATATGAGGTTTTGGCTCAGCTGTGGATATGTGGCTTAGCCCCAGCCAGCCAGTTCCTCCTCCAGTGGAAATGTTTTACTCTTCTTTTAGAATAAAAAGCATTACGAGAATAAAACCCTTTAGTGGTCAGATAGGCTGTTTGGGGGGATGGTACAGTAACATCAGGATCTAGGTATCTACTAGTTAAGTAGTTGTCATATAGTTAAAAAAAAAACCTGCAATTTTACACAGAGCATTACTGTTAATTACTATGTGGCTGCCTTTATATTGTTGCCAACGGAAGACAGAGATGATACTCTCCTATGCTATATATTATGGAGGATGGTAATACTAACAAAACTGAAAAGCCAGATCAATTCGCTTCCCCTCCTACATTTCATGCTCAGCAGTTTTCAAGGGATAGGCAGAAAATGCAATAGCTTTTCTCAATTCTATTTTTTGAAGAGCTGACTAAAAAATATTTTTAAATAGCCAATGTAAAATTTATTTTATTTTTCTCCCCTTGAAAAAAACCGTAAGTCAGATGAAGTTGGAAGAGTTAGGTAGCTGGGTCTCTGAAAAATCAAGCCAGTAATTTAAGCACTTAGAGAAGGATTTGGGGATGGTCAAAAAGGACAAACATGCCCAAAGTGGGATTCTAGCAAAAGTTAGGTGCCAAAGTACAAAATTGTGATCTTGAAAAACATTGTGCAGCTGCTGGCGAACTCTCAAAGCAAGTAAACCAAGAAAATGCTCTACTTACATTTTTCATTTTAAATACATAAACAGACTTGGGAAGAAAGACTGAACCTAGGGTAACCCTAGCTCATGTGTGGCCTGACCAGCAGGTTAGAGAGCCACGTAGCTCCCTGTATTCTCTCTCTGGTCCACTTCAGACAACTTTGGTTTTTGCATGATGACACAGCTCTAGCAGGAAGGGTTGAGGCTGCCCGTTGCAAGCGGAGCTCTGCGTGATTCCTGGAAAAACAGACATGTGTTCCTTCAAGAGGGGGTTCTGTACCACCAAGGGGAAAGTGCTTTCTTCTGGCTAGGAGGAAGGCACTGGTGGGGCAGGATTGAATGCTTGCACCTTTCTGCTCATGTTTCATGTTGGCTGACCCAGGCTGCGTGTGTGCATTGACTTGTAGAAACTCCCTGCTCCACAAGCTGTGCTTATTTCATGCAGGGTCCTTCTCTCAGCTTCAGGGGAAACTGTTTCATGTCTAAATCCTTTGTTGGATGAGACGAGAAAGAATCTAGCTGTAAACACCCATTTAAAACTAATAGTATCTTTGGCTGAATGGTACATTTTGAAGGTCTTCCAAGCAAAACACCGCTGCATGCTTAGAGCAGCCTGAGCCCTGCAGGACTCTGAAGGTGGGTCTGTAGAGAATTATCCAGTGCGGGACACTTTTCCAGGTGCTGGGATGCAATACGCTGTGCTGCTAGAGGGTCTCTGACCAGTTTGTGGTCTCCTAAGTGGATCTAAGGTGCAGGTGGGAGTTAGCATAGGCCAGCAATGGCCAGTTTTCACGTCAAGTCTGTCTGGGAGGTTGAGAGACTTCACTGGTGTAGATATGGGCCAACCTCTGCTAGTTGGCCTCAGCACCTGGGAGCCAGTCTCGGCATGGTCAGTTCAGTAGTGCAGACCTAGCCTGAACGAGCAGCATTTTCTCCTCTTTCTGGGAAGTAGGAGTTGTGTCAGGATACGTCAGGCCCTGCCTTTTGCTGAGGAAGGAGCACGCCTGCCCACCCCGTGGCTGTGAGCTGGCTGGCTGAGGTGGCACCAGCAGGGCCAGCAAAGCTGCCACTGCCTGGTGTCCCTGGGGTGGCTGGACCATGGTGACGTCTGCAGGGCTGCAAGTTCACAGGGACCTAGCTCAGAGCACTCTGTGCTTGTTGTATCGGTGGCATTTGGGAGGGGGTCAGGGTGGGTTAGTAAAAAGGGTGAAGGATGCCAGTCCTACCAGGACTGAATTTGCAGTACGAGGTCTGTGATATGGTAGGTTTGAAAAACTTGATATTTGTGGGTGAATTAAAGCAGGTATATAGTTCATCAGTGCTTTGCATGACCAACATTAAAAAGTTATGTTACGTGCAACAACTTCTGAAAAGAAATTTCCCAAACTCCTGCACTGTTTCACTTCAAGGACTGTGTTAGCTCTACTCTTGGCTTTTTTTTTCTAGAAAAGTTGCTGGATGTACTTAGTTATTTTTTGTCACATTTCAAACACTTGTTATGGTCAGGCAGTAGCAGGGCTTAGTCACAGATAAACAATAAAATACTGATTTCTTCTCTTCTTTAAATATAACCTTTAAAATTATTTCTGAAAACTTGTAACAGAGTATTTTGTGCATCTTTCAGGTAAGTGGATATTTGATAATTAAATGCATAGTAGATGTATGGTACAATTTAGAAGTTTCTGTATGTGTTCAGCTTTCTGTGAGTATTCAGCTACCATGGGAAGATCTATTTTAAAAAGCTGTAGGGACTGATCTTAAGGTTCTTTGAAAAGTCACCTCCTAGTTTAATGTTTGCTATGAACTTCATTAAACATTTTATGCGGTCTGTGCCAATTAAGACCATTAGCATTACCATGAACCGGTAAGCTTAGGGAAAAAAAATGGTTATGATTAAAAACATAAAAGCAGGGTTATTAACAAAAAGTGACTTATCAAGTGTAAATAAAATGACCTGAACAAAATGTGCGTCATTGTACATGCATGCCCTCATTTACCATCTGGTTTCTGTTTTATGACCCTTGCTATGGATTTATTTTGTGCTAGTGGACAAACAATTGGACAACACTTAAAAACACAGGCTGGAATTTAGGGAAAGCTTA